GTTTTTTTGGCCAAGGTGAAGGTGTAGTCCGGTAGATTTATTCTCTAGACATTCCATTTTCTTACTTCTATCCATGAGCTGATTTAGAAGATACAGAAATTACTTGAATCAACAGACTAGCAGCGATAAAAATGGTCTGGTGATATTAGTGTTATGAAAGATCAAGAACACTTAGCATTTAGCAGTACGTTTTCATTATTTCAGGGTTTGGGAAGCTTTGGAGAGTGCTTAGCTGTTTGAAACAGCACACTGGGAAAGGGGACAATATTTTCAGGCTGAGGTGAAATATCACCTATCCATGAAAAAGGAGCTGTTTGTTTTCTTAAGTGTTTCTGTTTTGTGATTACTTGCTGACTGAATAGTATATGAAGGAGGCTAAGAGACCAGTAAACGTTAGGGCTCACTAGGAGAAGTTTACCTTATACAGAAATCTCACACACTCTTTTATACTTCCCTCAAAAAACAAACACACGCACACACACACTGAAACACCTATTAGAAGCAGTGGCAACATTCAAGCAAACCTCAACTGGACGCTCAAGCAGGACCACTTAACAGCACGGTTTCCCTGTCTGTCCCTTCAGCCTGGACGGCATGCCTCAAACGGAGATCACCTGCAGGCTCAATATTACTCTTCCAAAGGACTTGTCCTGCTTCTTGCTTAATGCAGAAGAAGGGGTTCATACGAGTGACTGTCTGGAACAGTGCTTAACAATCCAAACAGGAGAGTTCCCCCCCCCCCCCCAAAAAAAAAAAAAAAAAAAAATTTTATTACAAATACAGCAATATATGCTGAAATATGTGCTCATGCTTGCTAAACCTGTAATCCAGGTTTTCTTTCTTTTTCCCCCCTCCTGTTAATAAGTGGTTTAAATTTAGTAAGAATGATTCACTCAAGCAAACCTGCACTGCTTTATTTTTTTCACTTGGAATCCATCTTGGATGACATCTAACAGGAAGATTAAAGGAGACAGAATCTGGCTTTCTAAACAACCACCAGCCCATCTTCCATATTTTTGTCATAATCCTAAAAATCTCTGTAACTTGGCAATTTGCTCATGCAATAAACAGCAGCAGATACAGGGCAGATACTTAACACAGCTCATACTCGAGCGCTTCTTTCTCTCTAAGCTGGGTTCAGGCCAAAAAAGATCCATTCTCTGTGGTCCTAAGACAATGCTGACCCCCAGATGGTCTACTCTAGCATCATAATTAACTGTTGGGGCCTCTGGTCCTGCTCTCAACCTAATTAGGCTGAGAGCAGTACCTTTGCCTTGTATTAGCTAGGCTCAGGGGCAGGCGGTGTGCACCCATTTGTGCATTTTGCTTAAAAATAAATAATTAAAAAAAAACCCTACTTTAGACTTTGATTATGGAAGTCTCCATTTTTGCTGGTCTGCTGATCTCATCTGTAGCTTTGGGGGCTTCTCCCAGAACTCATGCTCTCTGCTGCACACCCAGAGGAATCAAGCTGAGCTCAGGTAAGCTCCACTGCCCAGCTAGCAGCATGCTGGGAGGCCGTGAGGGTTTAGCCTCCCTGCTCTACCTACCACCAAAAGGGAGTCGTGTCAGTGGAAGAAAGCCTTGACCACAGATGCACAACTCTGGCAGGTGGCTTGCAACGCACAGGAGGTACCTGGGAAGTAGGTAGGCAGAAGAGCGGATGACACAGGAAGCTTTGGGACAGCACCGTAGGGCTCTTACGGCAAAGCTTTGCTAAATATATCTGCAGTGCAAAGTAGGTGGGTCAGAACATACCTCCAAGAGAAATCCATATTTGGAACCATAGCCCAAGTGGCAAGCTATACGTTCAAAGTAGGTATAAGCACAAGCGTAATGGCTTTAAGCAAGAACACTTGAAGGATTTGAGTCTCCTCCCCCTTGCATACACATATGTTCAGACAAAAGCAGAAAGCAAGCAGTCTCCACAGTCTCAAAGGGGATTATTTAGCAAGCTGGGAACCAAATAGAGTCTCTGAGCTATTGGACTACTGCCTCTCGCTTGCAACTGGGCTGAGACTTAGCAACTCATTGCACATGTGATGCAAACCTGTGAAATTACAAATGGTGAGCTGGTTATTTCTTGAAAGCACACTACTCCCAGAGATATATAAAACAGAACACTAATTTCAATGTCAAAAAATCCAGTCACATAAGGACAAAAAAGCAGAAAAGAGAAGTTTTTTTTATGGTGAATTCTGAAAAACTGATGAATTTTCTTGGGCAGTGATAGAGTTGTGTTGAATTCCCTTAGAACAGGAAATCCAGCTTCAGCTGTGGAAATGTATTGGAAGTGTTGATAAAAGCCAAAATTGCAGAACATTTGGAAATGCATAATTTAGTAGAGGACATCTAGTACGGATTCATAAAAGGAAGGTCATGGCTGACAAATCTGCTGAAATCCCTTTTATTATACGACCAAATCGTTAGGTTAGACAAGAGTGAAACGGTGGACATAAGTTATCAGTATCTCAGGAAAGCATTTGATTTTGTACCACTCAGACTGATTTACAAAGTCATAAAGCATCATCCAGGGAAAAGGAACTGAAATGGTCTGAAGAACATTTTAGGGGTAGGAATGACAGCAAGCTGGTGAGCAGAAGGAGCCTGAAACAGAGAGGTATAAAAGTCACTCATTTGCTTACTGCATAAAAATAGGCTCTGAGGAGGGTAAAACTTCTGCTTAGCTACTATTTTAGAGGCAGGAACACCTGAGTCTGGTCTAGTGACAGAGCTACAAGGGAGTGTTATTAGAGGCTGGTAGATTAGGAGGAAATAGGTACAGTAAGATGGATGAGCTTGCTCTGGCTTTTGACAAAAGGACATGAGGTGCTGCCCCAACCTGTGGGATTCACTTGGACTCGCACAGATGTGCGAAAGGACCCTCTGGCGGGGAATTTGCGTTTATTTTAAAGAGGGTTCAGTACTTTTATGGTCCTTAATAAAATCTGCAGCTATGCATGTTGTGGTAACGATACGGGTAATTAAATCTGAAGCTTCTGGGAATTAAGCTGATAGCCTGAAAGGGTCAAAAAGAAAACCCCTCTTGTACTTAATCACATGAATAGCTTTGCAAGTTGGAAGGTGCATTAACTGTCCAACACTGACCACTACTTGACACACAACGCAGTATTAAATGGACTTACAGATTGATCCAACTTGACTCTCCAAAAAAAATTACTGCTATTTCACGCAGGATACACCAGCAGAAACAGCCTTCCTGGACCTGCGTGGAATCCGTCCAGTTTGGTTCCTGTATAGCTCCCCTCTGATAGTTTTGCACAAGCAAAAACCACTGCCACAGTTATCACCAACAGCCCCTTGAAAGTCTCGCAATATCAGCCTGTGAAAACTGCCGTTTGCTCTCATCTCTGCTAGACTGGAGCTGAGATTTGCTGCTCGATGACAACACAAGGAGTTTTTATACTTGCATTATCTTTCCCAAGAAAGTGAGCGAATCTTTGCAACGTTCCCCGTGAGCGGGGGGTAACGTTCTCCACGGAGAACTGAGCGCCAGCAACCTGCTATCCAGCTCAAGGTCACCGGTGATAAAGACAAGAACAGAACGTGGATCTTCCGACTCCCACTCTCGTGCTCTGAATACGGGGCCACAGCGCTGCTGCCACCACCTGTGGAGAGAGCCTTTCAATCTTGAAGGCTGTCAAAACCCAGCAGCTTTTATGAGCACTAAAATTCACTTTAAATAAACTTAAAAAAAAAAAAAAAAAGTTGCGGGAGAACAGGTGGGCTCCTGTGACACCAGAACGCTTCAACGCACAAAGAACCTTTCATCTCGCTGTTCTGCACGGCACCTTTAAATAGTCTTCTACATAAAGGCATGATATGCAAGAGCAAAAGAATAATGGAGAAACAGTAATCCCTAACAGATCAACTGTGCTTTATCTACACAGATTCTGCTTTCATAAAAGCACAGAGGGAAGGTGGGGGGGGAGTACATTCTTATTGTTTTCTAAAGCTTAAAATAACCACAAAGTGAGAAAAATCAAAGCTGTTCCATAGAACAACTAGGGGAGAGGAAAAAAAAAAAAAAAACGCAGTGAGCATTTGAGGAAGACAGTAAATGGTAAAAGATAGAATTAGAGATCGAGCGCTACGGTCACCATGTTTAGGTCCTAAATTTGGTCTGTGCCGAAGCCAGCGTGGTTTAAATGGGAAGCGTCCGCCAGAATGTACGTGCCCCATATACAATTATAGCTGTCGCTGGCAGCAAAGGCTATAGTTACGGCTACCATTACACACTCCATTTTCACTTGCTAACTTCTCTGAAAATTTTTCCCTTTTCAAATATATAATGTAATAGAACGGACGTGACTTCTGGAGGAAACCGGCTAACTGCAGGAGACAAAGAGGGCAAAGGGACAGGAAGAATTAGCACAGGAGAGGGGCAGAATTGCCATCAATTTATTCCTATAGTTGATTGATCCGAGAGCTTTTCCTTTTCCAGAAACAAGCAGAAAATGCAACATTCACGTTCAGTCTTAACACAAGGTCCTGTCTGGTGCTAGGGCGAAGGAGGAAGAAAGTGGCCAAAACGAAAGCTGGCAAAAGATGTATTTATTCCTCACAAAGAGGATGTGAAAAACGTTTTTGTATTTTCCAGAGTGCTGAATTCTTCTGCGACATCTCTGGGCTCCTAACCTACTTCCCCTCGCCCCCAAAAGAAAGCAATGCCACGTCCAGAGTTTGCGTGAACCCTTTTTCTCTGTAGCCTGAAGCATCTGCCGCACCGACAGCCTCCAGAAAGCCTCGAAAAACCCACAAGCTTCCCCGGACCAAAGGGCTTCCTAGCCGTAGCATACCTTATTTTCCAAAATCCCTCTGCACGAGGGTTTCTGGGAGCTGTTTTCCTGCACACAGCTCTTTGTCCTTTCTTGAAGTCAAGCAGTCTTAAGGTATCCACTTGCTCCTTTCCAAACAGGTCAGGTACCTCCCGGCTCAAACAGCAGTTCAAAAGAGAGCGTCTCCGAGCAAGGGTGACTTGCCTTCAAAGCTGCAGACCCCTCTGTTTCGCAGCGATAACGTGATGAACAGAAGCCATCTGAAGAATTATTCCAGCCCTGACTTTCATCATTTCTAGACATGTGTCTCTGTTACTCTGTCTCCATGCTACGCTCTGTGTTTTCAAAGACTGGAAAAGATACTTTATGATTTGCCATTCAGACTTCTGGAGTTGTGTTTTTTTTCTTTTGGTTTGGTTTGGTTTAGACACCCAAACAAAGTACACGGAGTCCGTTCACCTCACCCCATCCAGCCTCACTGCTCAAAAAAAAGAGGAACTATTGGAAAAGGGCAGGACCGTGGCTGTTTTACACATATGCATCATTCAGCTATGAATTAAAGTTAAGATGGTTACCAATCAAAAAAAAAACCATAAGATTTGGTGGTGCGGAGGCACACTCCTACCCTCTCCACTGCCAGCCGCTGTGGCACAATAGACAGGCACGGCCCTCCCCAAGCATGTTTCACGACGAGGGGCTGCATCATCCGCGGTGAAAAATGCACCTTCCCCTTAAGTCCTGCTGCCCCTTAACGAAGGACTGCTGCAACCCAGATCGCTAACAAGTTTCTAACAGTAATAACGCAAAAAGGTCCATGAAATATCTGCAGTGCACAGCTGAGATTAACAGCTGGCAATGCCAACAATAAGCTTTTGCTGCTGTTTTAATTTAGTCCTACTGCATGCATGTTACTAGCCTACAACTTTAAGAACAATCATAGGAAAAAAAATCCTTTTAAATTCATTCCTTACTTGGATTTTGATTCTGAACCTTTAGTAAGGCTCCTGGCCTCCCCCACGTGTGTGTATACTGTTCAGAGGGAAACCCCAGCCCACTCAAAGACATGCACACCAAAATCCAGAGATGAATTAAAGTCTTTTCTAGGCAGGCTTTTGGACCTACCACCCTCTTCATCTTACCATTTTGCACTGAGCTGGATAGGCAGCACCTTGGAAAGTTTATCTTCCCATCTAAGAACTGAAAATTTTGAACTGCGTTACTCAACAGAAGTATCCAAGTTTGGAAATTGGACCTCCACCAGAGGACGGGAGGATATATAAATCAACACATCAGTCCTAAAATATAAGAGCTACTGTTTGATGCGCTATGCCAAAAATAAAATGTGAGCTTCTCTAGACAGTCTGCAACAGGCAATTATCTAAAAAACAATTTTTCACAAAGTTCTGCACATTCTTGCTGACTAACAATTCTGCTGCCAAGCACAAGAGACTGTAGGATTTTTTTTGTCTTTTTACAGTTCTAAGAATATTATCCAAACTACTGACTTAAAGGGATACTTTCAAGTTCATTTATTAACTAGATCTTGATGATTCTTTACATCCAATAATTTTATGTGCTGATATGCTCTTCTGTTACATAAATCTCTGCCCCTATCCACACAAGGATACTATTTGTTAAGCCAGTTTGAACCCCAGTTTAAATATGACTTACCATTGAAAACGCAACTAAATTTCCATGATTACGGTTAGTCGTATAATTTGAAGAAATACTAGAAGACATTCAGAAGTGAGAGCACTAGGACTGCTGCAAGATCCTCTAGTGAACAGAACAAAACGGCAGGCTTTAAAGGGGGATGGAGACCACGAACTACGCCTTTCCCTCAATTTCCACCTTTCTAAACAAGCATTCAAACCATTTTTAGGCTATAAGTGAATGCAAATTCACTGGATGCACCTGTTAAGAGAGCACTCTCTCATCTAGTAGCGGAAAGATAGATTGCCCTAGGTTCATGTTGTATTAAAAAGATCTGATTCTCTTTAGCTCAAGGCAGGAAGGAATGAGAAGTCCCTATAAGATATTGGCTCTCAGATGGGAACAGTCCCTTAAAACAGTTTTTTAAAAGTAAAATCTTAGGCAGGGGTGAGGGAGAGATCACACCAGTGAGCTTGGTCAGCCCCATGGTCAGACTGAGCACGCCGGGACGGCAGCAGGACTAAGATGCCACAAAAGCTCACAAAAGCTTTTCTAGATCTTAGCAAGTAAATGGAGTGGCAGAAATTATGGCCCAATATTACCTAAGCCTCAAACCCAGGCCTCCCTCCTATAGGAAATTACATAATTATATTAAAGTGGTACAACCTCCTCTCCCAGCACTTTATGGTAACATAAAGGTGCTTTTATTGCTATCCCTCCACAAAGAGAGGGGTAAGTAAACTGCAGTGAGTAACTTCTGACTATCTCTTCTAGGCAACGTAACTATTACAGTAAAGATTGTTCTTCCCCTCCATCAACACAGTCGCACAGCTAATCCTTTCAAACACAGGCCAGCAACTCCATTCCAAAATTTAAAGATGATGGTTTTACCCTGCTGCCACTTGCTGGCGTTGGGATGCTTGGACGACATGCAAGGAGCCCTACCATCGAAGTTACGACGCATATAGTACATTGTCTCCCAAAGTTTAAAGGAGCTGTATTTTTCTTCTTCAGTTTTGATACCCGAACCACTGGGTAGGTCTCATGACTAGAGAGAGCAGGTCGAGTCCCTGCTGATCTCGCCAAGAACTGAATTAGTGAACCGTTCACCAACTGAACCATCTAAGGATTTCAGGATTTGAGGAAAAAAAAAAAAAAAAAAAAGGGATAGACAGCTTTCTTTTTTTCCCTCCAGATTTTCTTTAGATGTCAGATTAGAAAGTTAAATATTTTAGCAGTTCTCCCACTGTCCTCACATTCAGAGTTATCATTTGCTCTTCTTTAAGTTCTTGCTCCTGGAGTCAAATGATAGAGTATACTGACTTTAGTCAAAAACAAACTAAAAATTAAAAAAAAACAATCCACACAGTTCTCACGGCTGTAAAGAAAACTGAGAAATATGAAGTGAATAAATACAGAATCAACCAATTCATTTCACCATTGCCTGATTTAAAGACAAACTATTTTTTGTACATTTGAGGTCACAAATAACAACTATCAGTTAATATCTAAAGACTATTCGTGCCTAATACCTGCTAAACCGTGACTTGGGAATATAAAATTCTTACCACAAAAAACCTGGAGCGGTCTTAAAAAAAAAAAATAAATAAATAAAAATCTGTTCAGCTGTAAAAGTACAGGAGAGACAAGGCACTACTGGAGAGAGGCCAGCAGAGGGCTACGAAGATGATGAGGGGCCTGGAGCATCTCTCCTAGGAAGAAAGACGGCAAGAGCTGGGCCTGTTCAGCCCGGAGAAGAGAAGATTGAGAGGCGATCTCATCAACGTGTACAAGTATCTGAAGGGAGACTGTCAAGAGGATGGGGCCAGGCTCTTCTCCATGGGGCCCAGCAACAGGACAAGAGGCAATGGGCAGAAACTGAACCGCAGGCAGTTCCATCTGAACCTGAAGAAAAACTTCTTCACTGTGAGGGTGACAGAGCATTGGAACAGGTTGCCCAGAGAGGTGGTGGAGTCTCCTTCCCTGGAGATATTCAAAAGCCGTCTGGATGTGATCCTGGGCAATATGCTCTAGAGGACCCTGCTTGAGCAGGGAGGTTGGACTCGATGATCTCCAGAGGTCCCTTCCAGCCTTGGCCATTCTGTGATTCTGTGAAAAGGGAGTTTAGAGCCACTCTCATCTGTGACTGAGACTCATCAGTTAAGGTACCAGCAAGCGGATGAGAAGAGCTGCACAGCAGATGAGCCACAGAAAGTGGATCAGGGAAAGCGGCCTATGAAGAAAATCGGTAACATGGAGAGATCTGGGCAGGGGTAGAGGTGGGATGCCTGAGGTCCTGAACTCGGTCAAGCAGGAGACAAAGCTGAAGCCCTGAACAAACCTCTGCCTGCAGCATCAACCCTTCCTTAACTGGATTTTTTACTGTAATTTGAGATTGGATACTGGGCTAGTCTGACCCAGTAGGGATATTATGTTCTTAAATGGCCCGGGCACAATTTATGTACAGCCACTCCATGAGTCAGGGTACGTGAATATATTGTAAAACACGTTACATCAGAAAAGACTCACTCTACATCTACAAGGAGAAAAATGACACCGAAAGTCAACGTCCCCTTGGCTGGGGGGAGAGGAAGAAGACACACGTGTGCATATAGATGGATTAGATCAGAGCCTTGCTTTAGAGCAATCGTAATAGAGCAAGATTTACCTCTAATGTTCTTAAAATGTTTTTATTTTTGAAACAAGACATGGAAGGGCCCCGTTTTTCATTAGCTGAAGCTGCACTTGAAATAAAACAGCCTAAGTAGTTAACAGGCTGCAAAACTCAACATGATTTCCAGGCAGCATTACAGAGCCTCACAGAGTAACACTGTGTACCCATTAACTCCAAGTCCAGAATTTGGCCAGAATTTGTTTTGCTGCATTACAGCCAAATCACTTTTTGTGTCTGTCTTCCTCCTACGTGGAATTGCCTTAGCAGAACAGGATGCCAATGCTAAAAGCACCGACTGTCTCCGACTTTACCTCTTTGATTAAGAAGGCCCCTCCTCCTCTTTTTTTTTTTTTTTTTTTGCAGGATCACTCAAACTTTACAGATCAGCATGGCTGCATTGAGATGACCCAATTGGTAGGAAAAACCTATAGCAACTCAGGGAAGAGCAGGCAGAGTATTCAGCCCTCCACCCCGCCATGAGCTAATCCCGAATCAAAACACAGTTGGAAATCATTTTCCTAATATCAAATTTCTGCTGAAAGTTAGGTTGACTATTTCTTGTACTGCCTACAGCAGATAGAGAAAACAATGTTGTATTCCTCACTTCCTTGCAAGAAACTTCCACAGTGGGTTTGAGTAACTCTTGGCAAGTGGGTAGGTTATTCAAGGCTTCACTTTGAATCTGTCTTCACCCTTTCCTTCCCCTGTAGAAGTCCTCCCGCAACTCACGTTACCTGG